ATTAATTAATGATTTTGCATTTTAGCATTTATATATGTATGCATTTTCAAAGTGTTTAATTTAGTGTTTTGTATAATTTATTAAATACCCAAGCTAATATTTTTCAGCAGTGGCATCCTTGGCAAATGTTATAAAAAATGCGAGTTTTGACAGCTCTCTCTCGAACCAAAGAGTCTCGTATCAAGTTATCTATGATAGTACCAGAGATAATGAGATCCCCAACTCCTCTCTCACTGGAAGTGAGAGACCAATTGCTAAACGATCAAGTTATCTATGGTATTATTCTACCAGTAAACGTACTAAAGTACTTGTAGAAGACTGGATTCTAGATATAGACACAATTTTTCGTGTTACTATCGGCCCTATAATAATTGTCGTTATCGTTATCGAAAATAAATAGAGATTTTAAATTTTGAAACGAGTATAGTAACGACATGACAACAGTCGTTTCTTGTGGTAATAATTGGGAGTGGGTAGAAACGGCAGTTATTGTTTCAAGTGAATATGTAAATTTCTAACACGAAGCAGTTTGAAATTTTAGTGCCCGAATTAATTCAATATATACTTTGTTACCTGTAAAGTACTCCTCACCTGCTGTAGTACTACGCATTGTGGCGCAACGAAATCCTTTTGATAAAAAAATATAGTTACAGGTATCGTAAACGCTTAGTTTATGAGATATTCGACTTTAAAGTTCAAAAATTCCCAAAATTCGAACATTTCAATAAGGTATTTCACTACATTTATCGTATTTCATACGATAATAAGCAAAAATGAGTAGTAAGTAATATTATATAATAATATTACGTAATAAAATACCTAGGTTACCCCGGGAATTTGATCGGTTAATTCCTTTAGAGCAGAAGGGAGTACTACGCGAAAGTACTTCAGTCACCCCGGGTATTGGCTCGACCAGGGTTATATTTTTAGCTGAAAGGAGTGCTTTCCATACTGATTTACAGCTTACAAATTACAAAAAAATAAAACGCTATCGTTGAAAAATCTTTCATATATGTTGTTTAAGATATGTCAACGTTTTCTTCATAATTGTAAACAATCTAACCTTTTGAACGATGAATGTGCTAAGTGATTTTTAAATTAATATACATATTTAGCAAACAAATAACAAAATAAAAATGAAATGTGAACTTATTTTAATGTTTAGAGGGCATATTTAAACATATAAAGTTTAGTGAAACATTGAGAACTACTATGTGTTGCTGATACAAAATTTTGAATTTTTAATTGGCAATCTTTTAAAAAATATAAGTGTTAGCAACATCAGTTTTGCATATTTTTCCTCTGGAGAAGCTCCCCTACCAGCACATACCAGAATCAGAATTGAAACCGATCAAAAAAAGCAGTAGGTGTCATGAATTCAGATATAACACAGTACAACAGCTAATCTGGGGGTGAGAAATTCCAAGTCAGGGTGATGGTACTAGGTCAGTATAGTAAAACCCTCAAAGGGTTTGGCGTTCGTATGTGTCAGTTTTTTTTTATGACCTTTTAAATTTTTTCCTTATTTCCCATGGTTTTCCATCTTAACAAATTAATTTTTTCCAATCAGGCGTACTAAATGGTCCAGATATACGAAAGCTGATTAAAAGTGACGCATTCAACAATATTTTGAATGCGTCACTCGACGCTGAATTGAATGCATGGCAGGCAATCAAAGAAGTAATAGAAGGCTTGTTGGGAAAGCATCGTTCTAACAACTACGATATTTCTGTCGCAAGGATGTTAAGAGCATTCTCGGAAATTGTTTTTTTATTACTTTTTTTTATTTATTTTTTGTTTTTTTGGTTTTCGCCAAAATGTTACAACTAAGCGAAAAAACATCACGATAAGRAAAAAATTTAAAAGGTCATAAGAAAAACTGACACATACGAACGCCAAACCCTTCGAGGGTTTTACTATACTGACCTAGTACCATCACCATGGAATTTCTCACCCCGCAGACAATAATCCCAAAAATGTTCGACAGTGTTATTGGTTTGATATTCGAAACAGAATTTGCTTTAGAGGCTTAAAAAACCGATTTTGTTGAGGTTTTTTTTTTTGGATGGAAATAAATAATTGATTAAAGCGAAATTTCTAGGGTTTATAGTTATATATTTAAACTATATTTAAACATCATCCGCACATTTTTTTGTACGAAAAGATTTCGTCAGATTGCTTCT